TTTGGAAAACAAAATTATTACCAGCAATACATTTTTGACAGCAACAAAAAAATATTGTCGGCATTAAATAATCCACTGAGGTTGATATGCCGTAAAACAAACCAAACCAAACAATCTTTGATTTTGTCAATTTTGTACGCTTTTCGTTTGGGATTACATATGCAATAACTGAGAGAGATGAGGATTTTAAATATCTTTAATTCTCTTCGTCATGTAGTTATTCAGAGTTACAGATTTTAAAGACTCTTAAATGAATACCTATGATTACGCCAGATTTTATTTTATTCTTGCGATGTGAAAGGCCTTTGATATATCTAAGGTAATCACCCTAGTGATTATTTTTTCCAGTACCTCACTGATTTTGAGTGGAATGATAGAACATCAGCAGTGGGCCTAGAGGAGCAAAATCCATACTGTTTGTCGCTCAGGAGGTTGTTTCTGCAGAAATGATCAAAAACCTCGTTGATCATAGAGTTTTCTGATGTAATTAATGAGGACTATGGGTTGATATTGTAACAGGCATGAGCATTCACCTGCATTCTTGAAAACTGCATACAATTTAGCAAGCGAAGAAGAATGAAAAGAACTGGTGGAAAAAATGAATGCAGATTGTCAAAACATATAATCACGACAGTATAGCAACAGGCTTGCCACTTTTCGTCTATAGGAGAGGGATTGTAGGGTGAAAAATAATTACCGTATATTAACACGTATAATACGACCTTTAGATAAGACGAGGTCAAAAAATATAGCAAATTTTCATGAACACACACTCTAAAGGGGAAACCATTGTTTCGTTTATGTTTCATCATGTGATCTTTTGCGAATACTGATTCTTCTTCTGTACAGTATTTACATTATTCCGACTAATGTCCTCATTTTTGTCGCCATATTTATTACAACGTTTCGGGCGTAGTACGCTCCAGCCTTCTTCAGGGGTTGGAATGTCGAACTGAACCCTTTATTTCGCTCACTGGAAAATTCGAAAACTTAAGGAATCAGCATATGCTAGGCCATAAAAATCTCCTGAGCCGACCAAGCATAAAAATGAATACAATGTGGGAACCAGTAATAAGGAGTGCCAGAGAAAGGCGATAATAACAACAAAAATTGTAATATAAGCTCTGATAAAAACATGTAATGATAACAGCAAAAATTGCAATATGAGCACTGGTAAAAATGGTTGCTGAAGACATTAGGTTTATAATACCCAGAAATTCATACCCAGATGTCCTCAAGGACACATGGCACAGTGAATAAAGGCGTTGGTTAGATCCAGTGACAGGACCCAAAGAGTGTGAGTCCAATACCCGGTTAAGGCAGTGGAGAACTTGGAGAGGGGAATTAACAGGAGATAACTGATAACTGACATCCATTAAAACATGGCAGTGAGCGACATTTCAACTATCTGAAGAAGGCCGAAAACGTTGTAATAGATATGGCGACAAAGATGAGGACATTAGTCTGAATACTGTAAATAGTGTACATAATAATACTTCATCTCAGAAATATAGACAGTTACTGATTCTTCTTCTTCTTCTTCTTCTTCTTCTTCTTCTGTATCTAAACAATTAAAAGAGCCTGGTGTACCAATGGCCATTTACTTATACGACAATCACAAAATACCGCTAATAATGGTATTTATTACTTTTTTAAACAGTTTATTTGATAATGTTATCGTGCCGAGACTGAAGTTAGCCTACCGACAAACATCACTTAGAATTTATGGTTTCTTTTTAGAATTATAGTATAATACAAACTCCAAGTTTTAAGGGTGATTTTTGGAATTTAAAGATCGTCTTATACGCAGAAATATACAGTGGTAGATAATTCATGAACGTTCTGGAACACTGTTAAGGCTGGAAAGGGAGGATTGAATAGCCTCAGACCAGGTATATTTTCTGATTTAACTCTTGCAAAGATAACTAATAGATTTTTGTTCCTATTCTAGTTGATTAGCATTACTACCGGAAGTACTCGGCGAAAAAAGCATGATGGTCTTTATAAATCCGAATCGGCTGTGTTACTGCTTATATGAAAACTGGGAAACGGTAATAAAAGAATTTATTTAAAGAGACAGTCGATTTAAATGTAACATTTCTGAAGGGAAGTTTTGTCTGCCTCCTCGTGTGCCGTTTGATGGATGTTAATTTAAATGCATCCACCGTTTTCGCGTTATCTTTCGACTCCGCTCAGATAATACGTTGAAGAACGCTCTCTCTCTCTCTCTCTCTCTCTCTCTCTCTCACACACACACACACACAAAGACACACGCGGATGTAAAGACACGGATATACAAGAGTAATATATATATATATATATATATATATTGCTCTGCTGGTTTGTACCCTGATTAGGTTTCCTCCCCAGCCAGTAGCCCAGCTGTCAAACAGGAATCGTAATGCTGAAGATAAGAAAAAGAGATAAGAAAATATAGCTAAAGGAAAGTGAGTCCATATCTAAAATGAAATCTGTCATTACTGGTATCTACTGAATTATCGCTTTTATATATATATATATATATATATATATATATATATATAGAGAGAGAGAGAGAGAGAGAGAGAGAGAGAGAAAGAGAGAGATAATAGATATATATTTATTTTTATATATCAAGAACAATAATTAAATACTGGGAATATTTTTGTATGGCAAACTGGAAAATGCTTTCTTGTGACGCGTTTCGACTTCAGTACTTCATCGAGTTAAGCGTGTTAAGTTAGTGCCACTACACATACGAACGAACGAGAGGTGCTGGGGATTTTAGAATTTTTTTCTTTATAGAATATTTTTTAGGATTTTTTCTTTATATCTAGCCGAATTCATGATGGAAAGAAAAAGAAATGACTCTCAGTGTCGTACCAACATATATATATATATTTATATATATATATATATATATATATATATATATATATATATATATATATATATATATATTAGATTATCGGAGAAATCATTAAAGATTTTTTAAATTTTCAAAGACTTTTGTAACATTACAAAAAATTGTCCAAATAATCGTGTAACAGTAAAAAAATGATTGTTTCAGAATCAAATAAAGTTTAGATAGATGATAGCAATATATTCATTTCAGAATGATCTTCGCCCTCACTAATCTTCTAACTTTCTGTCCTGAAGTAACAATGTGCCTCACACATTTTACGTACGATTTTATTTTCAAGTTTTTTTCACTGCTCTTTGGGCTGTCATAGATGAAACATTCTCTCATGTGCCAAACGTCTTATCAATTGAGTTGAATCTTTTCCAATTGATCTCTTTAACTTAAAGTGAAAATGATGATCACACTTCCTGTTGTGACATTTTGATCAATTTTTCCTCTCTACTTTTCACTCGTTTTTAAACTTATTCACTATTCTCTTGATGGTTCTTGAGTGGATTTGAAGATAGAAGCCAGAGTATGAATGTTGGTACCATAATTGAAGACCTGAATTATCTTATTCCTCACACCATTGCTCATTAGGATGACATATGGCTGATACAAAACGATTCTAACCTGTTCTCTTTTTAGCTGAATAACTGAAATATTTTTTTCCGTGATTCTTACGACAAATGGTGTCAAGATGGCTACCGTTTTATCTGAAAACCTGGAAAAAAAGAAACTCAATTTAGTGTTTTTTTAGACATTAAACATTTTTTGGGATGAACAGTGAGAAAATGCTGTTACACGATTTCAATAATTTTACTGTTACATCCGGTATACAGCGTCTAGTTTTTTCTTCCGTATCTGCCATCAATAGTGTGCCTTCTGCGTATATTGTGTTTAGCAATAATAAATCCTGGTAGGACTTCTAGTTTTCTTGGGATCGTCTCGCTGTAAATGTTAAATAAATCTAGTGAGAAGACGTAATCTTGTCTTACGCCCCTTTTAAGTTTTGTGCGCTAACTCATTTCATTTTCTTTTTGTATACAGGTGGTTTGTTCACAGAAAATATTAAATCCTGGTAGGACTTCTAGTTTCCTTAGGATTGTCTCACTGTAAGTTAAATACATCCGGTGAGATTACCTTTGTCTTGCCTTTTATTTTTCTGTGCTTAATTCATCTTCTCTCCGTGTGAAGGCGGTTTAGTTATTTCATAATCATTTTTGACTCAGTTTAAGAAAAGGCCTTATTATTAAATTATTAACTAATAATTACTATAACTTTAACTTTTAAATGACAGAGCCACAAATAAACGCTAAGGATCCGGTGAGACTCGAAACCATTATCCGTTTTATCGTCGGAAAAACTGGTTGGACGCATCAATTATTTAGACAGTTAAGCAATGAAAACTTGAAATCTTTGCCGAAAAACAAATCTAGCCTATCAAGCGATGCATTTCACGATCTTTATCAGCGCCATGTTTGTTTGTTTTTTCTGTCAATAGTCACGCTCGACTAAGGAAAACTTAAAAAATATGCCAGGCAAAAAGCGCCTCTAATAAAAATCATGAATTAATTTAACGATCAAAGGCGTTCGATGGATGAAACAACTTTTTGGTGTTATACCTCCCCCATTTATTTATTTAAAAGAAGAACAGCGGCAAATGGCACAATCAGAAAATGAACGTATTGTTCGGGCGCCTGACGCCATCGCTATCGACACTGGCGCCTAGTCTCACATGACCTACTCGTGGAGCATTCGCCTCGTTTATATCCGCTTCCGGTGACAGCCAATCGAGCGTGACACCTTTTGTTAATGTCCGTCAAAAAGAAACGAGGAATCTGGGAGTTGGCTGATGTATGAAGAGGTGGGTTATTCTTTTTGCATATTGTGTAGTGTTGACCCACTAAGTTTAAGGTTGAGTTTGCAGGCACGGTTTCGCACCCCGGGTGGTAAGATTAATTACACGCAAAGTAAAATCTAATGGTTATCATAAACGACTGGTTAGATATTCTCCTTACCACAACTAGTGTAAGAGTTATCTCTCCTTGTCACACGAGCCCGGGAATAGGACCCTCTATTAACAGAGTATGCCTCATCCTTGACTTTGCGTCATCACGTTGAAACACTGGTCCCCGTACAATCACTGAAGTTAAGCAACGTCAAGCCTGATCAGTACCTAGATGGGTGACCGCTTGGAAATACTAGGTACTGTAAGCTTGAATGTGAGGGTCATGTAATGTGCTTACGGCCATATCACGTTGAAACATCGGTTCCCGTACAATCACTGAAGTTAAGCAACGTCGAGCCTGGTCAGTACCTAGATGGGTAACCGCTTGGAAATACCAAATATTCTAAGTTTGGATGTGCGGGTGATGTAATGTGCTTACGACCATATCACGTTGAAACACCCATTCTCCTACGATCACCGAAGTTAAGCAACGTCGAGCCTGGTCAGTACCTAGATGGGTGACCGCTTTGAAATACCAGGTAATGTAAGCTTGGATGTAAGCGTGGTTTAATGGATAATGGCTGGAAGTTGGAAAGCGAAGTTCAATTCCCGTTGGGTTTGTTATATTCACTTACGCAGAAATATCCATGAGAAAGCTATGACTCCACCTCTTTTCCCCCCAGCGATGGGTTAATTAGTAAGACTTGTATCACTAAAAAATTATTATCGGAAAAAAAAAATAAAATAAAATAAAAATCTAAAAAAAATTTCTGGCTTTAAATAAGCTACAATGGCTTGATAAACCGTAAAAATGAAAGGATTTAATTCATACCAGATCTTGTAACTGATGGTGGTAGGGGTCTGTATTAAAGAAAGAAAATGGCGAAATTGCAAAGAACGGGTGTTTAAATATTTATTCATTTAATTATTTAGTGAATTTTGCGCCGTGTATCATCAACAAGAGTTGAGAAATACTATATTACAGGATTACATTCGTTAGTATGTTCATATCGTGAAGAGATCTGTGTCAAGGTCCAAGAAATATAGGCAGTGTATTAAAAAAAAGATTTGAGTGTTGTTGATAGTCCTCTGATTTTGGAACATATGCGAATATTGAACTCCATTCTGTTATCCTATTTTATAATGCAGGTATATCATGTGCACGTTTAAGTTTAATTGCAGCAATTTTATTTTTCGTCGTTATATATATATATACTAGCAGTAGAGCCCGGCGTTGCCCGGGGATATAACAGTAAGAGATAGATCAAGTATCCACCATCATAAAGACTGAAAAATAAAATTGACAAAGATTATTATTTAAGGTTGATGGACACGCATGTCTTAATTAGTTTTTTTTTGTTTTTTTTACGAATTGGTCAAACTCAAACAAAAACATTGTTTTCAATCGTTATGAGTCTATCGATTGATGAATAGAATTTTATTATAAACAATTGTTTTGTAAATGGAATTTTTAAAGCATTCTGAATGTAAAAATTAAGAAAAAAGTGTGCAAGACAATAAGAAACACTACATGCCAAAAAAAAAAGTGAAGTTTTGTTGAAATCGGTTGAAAAATGTAGGTAGCCTTTCTGTAATCTTTTAGTTTTACAATTTATGATTTTTACTTATTGAATACAGTAAAAAAAATTGCATATTTTGCTTGTGGTGATTCATAATTAGATTTCTGATTTGAATATATTTTCCACTCGTTGTTTCTAATAAAAAAAATATTAACTTTATTTGGGTTTATTAATTTATTACAAGTACTGTGTTCTTTCCTTAATAATTATCATCTTCGAAATATTGTTTTTTGTCTATCAGATTTCTTACGTCGGCATTTTTAAATTATTTCTTAATACTTTCTTTTAAATATTGAATTAATTTCAAATAGAACCAATGCCTTATTGATCTGCCTTGTAACAAATTGCAAAGGGAATTGTAAAAACGGCCCTAAAGTACGTGGAATTATCTTTCCCTAAAGATAAAGAATTATCCGATTTTTCGATTCGTAAAATCAGTAGAGATCGTTAGATTATTGTTTAGGTTGACGGGCACGCATGTCTTAGTTTTTTTTTTTTTTTTACGAATTGGTCAAAGCCAAACTCAAACAAAAACATTGTTTTCAATCGTTATGATGAGTCCCACGATTGAATAGAATTAGAATTTTATTATGAACAATTGTCTTGTAAATGGAATTTTTAAAAGCATTCTGAATGTATAAATAAAGAAAAAAAGTGCAAGACAATAAACACTACCTGCCAAAAAAGAAAGTGGATGTTTGTTTTATCGGCTGAAAATGTAAGAAATCCGATCCCATATATAAAGGAACACACACAAAACAACCTGGGTTTTTAACCCGATCTGAGTTGTTCCCTTTCATTCTCACGATGTGTCTTAATCGTGTTTTTCAAATTGATTTTCTTAAAAAAACAATTGTGTTTTTCCCATTTTCGGCGCCGTTAGAACCACCACAAGGTAATTTTATGTAGTCCTGTGAAGTTTTGTTGAAATCGGCTAAAAAATGTAGGAAACCCGATCCAATATATAAACGTTACACACACACACACACACACACACACACACACACACACACACACACACACACACACACACACACACACAATCTGCGTTTTATAATAAGTAAGATATATATATATATATATATATAGAATACAAATACAAATCCTAATACGAATAGCGATTTCAACCAACAAGACCTATATTATTGTCATTATGAACTCAGAAGTATATATATATATATATATATATATATATATATATATATATATATATATATTGATTTAAAATATGGTTTTAAGATGGGCAAAAAAAATATTTTAAATCAATTAATTTATAATATAAATGCTCTGTAAATTTAAAGTGAGCACTATTTTGTAAAAATAAAAATATCTATAAGAACACCGGATTATATATCTTACTGTTCTTTCTTTATGTATATATATATATATATATATATATTCATATTTGTGAAGCATAAGAAGTATATATATATATATATAAAGAGGAGAAAACGAAAGAGGGAAAAAAGTGTGTGTGTGAGAGAGAGAGAGAGAGAGAGAGAGAGAGAGAAACATTCAGAATGCAATGGCCGAACATTTCGCATAACTGTCGATTAAAATTCATATAATTTATTCTCAAAACAGTTGTTCAGAAAAAGAGACGCCTGAAGTCCACTGTTATAGTACATTCTATGATTAATGTGAGTTTGGAATTGGAACTCGGCTCTTTGATTAACAATTCAGAGCCATTATCCATTAAAACAAACGTACATCCAAGCTTACAGCGCCTGGTATTCTTAAGCGGTCACCCGTCTGGATGCTGACCATGCTTGACGTTGCTTAACTTCGGAGACTGTCCATGACCCGGGGTTTCAAAATGATGTAGCCGTAAGGCTCCCGCTATGCGAGAAAGCAAAGGAAACTTGAAAAAAGATCATCAAAGGAAAAGTTCCGTCGTTTTCAACGACAAATGCCTATATATATATATATATATATATATATATATATATATATATATATATATATATATGTGTGTGTGTGTGTGTTGTTGGTCACCGCTCCTTTCCAACTCACAGTTGTGGTTCATGATGACATTCAAGGCAAAATAGTGCAACGGCTTGCCGTTTTTCTTTTGGTTTTCACAGAGGATTGAATATGTGGCACACCAAGATCCGAATATGCTACTATCGAAAAAAAAAAAAAAGCATTAACCAAGATACTGGGAAATGGTGGAAAACCGTTAAAAACAAAGAAAAGAGTGCTGGATTGTTGTGCATTATCAGTCCTCTTGTATGGCAGTGAATGCTAGACAATCTCCCTACAGATGAACAGAAAACTAGAGGCAGCAGAAATGTGGATCTACAGAAGGATACTGAGAATGGTGCGAGTAAGCAATAAAAATGCCAACAGAAAGAAACACTTATACTCAGAATCAAGAAGCGATAGCTTTCTTTCTACAAATATTTTCATGTCAACTTTCGTTCTGACGAGGTTTTTACCCTAGTACCCCGGCTACATGAATTTAAGCGCGCTACTAGATTGGCATGTAGGTCCCACCCTTTTACTGTCGAAATATCTAATTTTAATCGCTACTTCTACTCTAACAGTTTCTTTTCTCGCACTTCCCCTCTGCTGAACTGCCTTCCATTTAATTACTTTCCGGATAACTACAATCTTCAAAAATTCAAATGCAACGTCAATCGCCATCGTCTGTCTCCTTGAAGCCCGTTCATCATTTATCCTGTCCTCAATCCCCTCTACATCCAGTCTTTTTTTTCAATTTCATTCTTGCTTGGGGTGAAATTATATATATATATATATATATATATATATATATATATATATATATATATAATTTATATGCGTAGTACTTAGTGAAAAGTGATCACTAGTAGAGATAATATATTCAGTTGTATGGAAGAAAGTTCCCCCTCCCACAACCAAACATAATCAAACACAAAAAAGCATAAATAGATCCAATTTTAAAAAAATAAACCAGTTTGTCTGATGATCATAAATGCGTGAAACCCAGGTTCACAAATTCATATCCATACAACTGAATATATATATATATATATATATATATATATATATATATAAAAAAGTGAACATTGAAGTCAACACTAAGAGGCGATAGGCTGTTGTTTCATACTAGACGCAATCGCCAGGCTTGAAGTCAGGTGGCCTGACGATTGCGCCTAGCATGAAACAGCCTGTCGCCTCTACGTGTTGACTTCTATGTTCACTTTTATATTTACACACGCTCTATCTCTGATATTGAGCACTTTATCCCATAAATATAGCACACTTTAAGAGTATATTTCTTCATATATATATATATATATATATATATATATATATATATATATATATGTGTGTGTGTGTGTGTGTGTGTGTGTGTGTCAAGAAATATAGTTTATATATATATATATATAGGCGACAGACTTTTTCAGGATTAATGATTGCGTTTAGCATGAAAACAGTCTGTCGCCTCTCTGAGTGTATATATATATATATATATATATATATATATATATATATATATATATATATATATATATATATATATATATATATATATATATATATATTGTGATTGAAAAGTAACTCCATATTTTATGAATGATGGACTCTCTCATTTTGTAAAAATTATAGTGAGATGGGAGAGTCCATCATACCTAAAATGGCGAAATATTTTCCAACACCTTGTATATTATTTTTCTTTACTTTTTCTTCGCAATCAAAACAGAATGGTCCATTATTTATCTAAGGTTTTTACAGGGGAAAGGGGCAACACACATGCTAGTTTACGAACGGAGTAGTTATAATAATAATAATAATAGTAGTAATAATAATAATAATAATCCAGTTAGTGGCAAATATGTTTTTCCTAATAACAGGGCGGTAGTTTTCAAATTGTGGAAAATAAATATACGTTTCTAACCCCTCAAACACAGATGAACAAAAATTAAATTAAGAAACTCTTATGAACAAAACACAAGCAAAGCCCATGCCGCTACTTGCCCACCT